ACATTTTAGGCATACAATAAAATGTGTAAGGCATGGTAGCTTTTAACTCAGTTGATCCTTTGTAAGACACCTTCTTGAGAGTTCATAGTACATAAGATATAGTGAAACTTTAGATTTATACCCTTGTTTAAAACAAAAGTTTTTAATGAAGTCACTAACCCCTTGTGTGTTAGAGTAATATTGACCCCCATCTGGCCTTCATACCTATGATTTTTCAAAGCAAACTTCTACAGTTTTCCTCTGAGATGCCTGAGATGGGTATGAACAACCAGAGCTTTGTTTAATAGCCATTTATTTAACTTTGAGCAAAATGCTCCTTACCTATCTATTTATGAGACATTTTTTATTAGTTGGGATTTAATACATATAACATATCATTCCGTATTTCAATCACATCAAATATAATTGTACAATAGCTACCAGTTTCCCACCATTCTTTTTCTACCTCAACTTCTTGACATTGTCTCTCTTTTTTACCACGCACCCCCCCCCCCAGCCCCCCAAATCACTTATATACTTGATGTCCATATAGGTTCATCAATCCTGGGTTTCTTATACCAAAAAATGGAAAAGCATGTAACACAGCTTCACGAGGGTGCCCTCCATCAACATAACACCTCTGAGACACACGCCATCATGAATGAACAAAAGACAAACAATACAAACTGAAAATACAGAAAATTTTGGAAACCAGATCAGGTCTAGCCTGCATCATAGGGGGGATCTACTGACACAAGTTTTATGTTCAGGTCAGATTTATGCCTTAGATCTTCTTTTTGATGTGTGCACATTACTCATTCTTTGTTGATTCTTTTCCTAAAGCCAAATGACTTGGGTTTTTTGCAATTCTCTTTTTTTTTCACCAAGAAAAATAATTCATTTTTTAAATGTTTTCTTTTAACAGAAAACTTCAATAGTACTTATCTTTCTTTTACAATAACTACCAATCTGATCATCAGTGTGTAACCAAAATCTCAAGTTCAGGAAGCACACTATTATTCCTTCCCTGAACATTTTAAGTGATTATATACAAATATATTTATTGTGATTCATGTGGAATTAATATTATACTGGACCACACTGATACTGCTTTTCTAACAGTATTTCTAAGAGATTTCACATAGAAAAGAATTTTTCTCCAGAATGTTATACATAAAATTATTATGCATTCCATATATTTCCACAAGACTGAATCCAAACCAAAACCCAATCCCAATACCAGTAAGTCGATTCTGACTCATAGAGACCTTCTATAGGGTTTTTATAAGGGAATTGTATTTTGAGTAGAGGGATATTAGGAAAACAAATTACTTATAGCAGTAATATATATATATGTATTTTAAAAAGCAAATCTTTCACATAGCTAAAATGATTCCAATACAAATAAGGCAAAACTGCGATATTTATTACATTGCTATGTTAATACATTTTAAATATATTATGTCTGACAATCTCATACATATAAACTTTAAAACTTCTGCATAACTATGAACAAGGGACAAAGGTAATAGTGAAGAATGAATTTTTGTCCCAAATGATAAAACTCTTATTATTAACAATGATCTTTAGAGATATTTCTATAAAAGTTGAAATTGAGGTCAATATTACCAGGTCTATCAATTGTTATCACTGATAATTTTATTTTATAATAGTAGGAACAAGGAAAGTCAATTAAAATTAAAATAAAGCTTATAGGAAACAACATAGTAAACTAGCATCTATAAAGCAAGCTGTTCATGTATGTTTTGTTTGTTCTCTGTTTTACACTTAGGGTAAAAACACCTGATTTTAAAGTATAAATAACATCAGTGTGGGAGATTAGAAAAACCAGGCAAGAAGAAGAAAACTAATACTGATATATTTTAAACAGAAATGTTTCTTCTTTAATTGAGTTGAAAATTAAACCTGCTTTATTTTTGAAACACAGAGAAAAATAAGTTTATGGGTGATTTAAATTTTTGATATTTCCCTTTTACAATGTTTTTCTTATTTCACTTTGCTAAGAATATTTATTTAACAAGGTTCCACTGATAACGTCCATACTATGATCCAATTTTCCTTCAAATTCTCTCTTTAAGGTTATTTTGTTGTACAAATCAAAATAAAGCATGAGTGATATTTTTAGATAATGAAAGTCATTAAAAATGCTTTTATTCACTTTTATAACAAATTCTTTCGAAACTTATAATGGTGATTATTTGGAGGAAATTAATTATTATTTGAAACCTAATTATCTAACACAAACATTCTTATATATTTGTTGCAATCCTTCAACTTTGTTTGAAATGTGATTCAATAATTAAGCATACGACATATATTCTATATTATTTTCTGACCAAATCCAATTTAAAAATCATCTTTCTATATACACCTATCAGAGAATCATATTTCTCTTTTAAGGACTATTTTAAATCAACTCACATCGCAGTTTTCCTTTCTAGTCACCTTCTCAAAATACTTTTACATTACTACTGAAATGAGAATGAATTTTGTGCTATAACTTGGTCTATTGCCCTGAGACACTTTAACATTCCATGTCTCCATAGCAACTCCATATGGAGGATGTCAGGACACTTCTTTCTGGCAGCCATTGGAGAACATGTACTGGAGGGCCCTGTGTGAAATGTAGTTATGAAAATCCTTCTAAGGAAAAGAAATGTTAAGCCAAGTGTTGCTATATATGCCCAAATTTTCTTGTATTTCCAAATACGATTCCAACTCTTCGTCTTTCACGTCTGCTTGGGAAGTTCCTTAGCCCTTGACATAGCTGGAGATTGACGGACTTTTAAGATCTAAAAGTATGACATCCCTTTATCTTGATTATTACACCCTGAACATGTCTCACTATTTATGCGCGTCTATTGAACTTAACTCTTAAGTTGTCATCAGGTGCTATTCTGTCATCCATTTCATTTTTTCAATCTGAAACTGTATATATTATAGTTCTCAACTGATCGTTACTCAGGACTTGAGTATGTCTAACCACATTCTGGGCAGCAAATCCTCAGATTTTACTCTTTCACAGTTAATTGTTTCTTTTCTAAGGTTGGTATAATATTGCAAAATCACACTAACTAACTACTGCCGGCTCTAACACTGATATCCTCACCAGAGAACCATAGGACAGAAGTCACAGCATGCGGTCCCCTAACAGAGAAGCATGTTTGCCCTTCACACTCAGTCTTCATTGTTGCAGGAAAGCATGCCAGCTTACTGGTTATCCTTCGCTGGTTTCATACTAGACATTGCTGATGCTAATTTGAATCTTTTTCACTTGCCTCAATTTTAGTCCAAATGATATCTCCTTTTATCTCTTCCATAGAGAAGATGGAGATCCCTCAAGTTTCAATTCTTTAAATTCTTTACCAGCTCAAAATTTTCTTTCTTGTGGACACTTTCATTTCCTTTGACTTTCAAATAAGAAAAACCTTCAATTCTTAGGAAAAAATTTGCTTGCATCATTGCTTTCTCTGAAACTTGTCTTCAGTAATTATTTTTATTAATATTTCCATTGATGATATTATCACTGGCTTTAATTTGGGGTGTGGTAGGGGAGAGGATGATGCCATCACTTTTTTCCCCCTTTTAGACTGATCCAAATCAGTCTTTTTGTATTTAAAGTATCTTTTTCTACTCAGAGAAAATCATTATTCAATTTTATCCTGGGTTTATAGTCATGTTTCCACATTGCATGTGCTTGTCCACAATAGTTACAAGTCCACCTTAAGGGGTGGCCACACCTCAAGTCACTTTCTATGGCCGATGATTTTTGTTTTTGTTTTCTTTATGTTGCAGTGATGTTTGAAAATGGCAAAGTCTCAAGTTTAAAATTATGTTTGAATTTGGCCTTCAAATTCCATTATATATATATTCAGTCAAAGATGAAGAAACCTTGGATAATATGCAATTCCTTAATTTTTAGCAGTTCTAGATATAATTAGTCATCAAATATATGTATATATATATATATGTGTGTATGTTTTTCTCCCATCCAACAACACCTCACACTTATTACCAGGTTTTTATTAGTAGTGGTAGTAATAATACCGAAATGCTACAAATTTCTACAAAGTAAGTTTGCCTGTTAAATCTTAGTGTGTAACTACAATCTCATAAAATTCAAGAACTAAACAATAATTTACGTCTCATCTTTTGGGGCTGAATTAAATACGAATTTCTTCATTTGAGTAATCAACTCTGAAATATGTCCTGTTGTTTCAATGTGAGTACTCACTCCACACCTCAGCAAATTAAAGGCATATGATTTCTCAGGGTTGCTCACAGCGTCTCTACTCCTCCTCCATGAACTTCCTTTCTTAAACACCGCACGTAACATGAAGGTGTTTTCTTCCACTCCATAAGGAGTAGTTTACAGCCCCAGATGCGAAATCTTCTTTCTTTATTCATGATGACATTATGTTATCACTTTCTGTTTATTTTTCCCTGCCTCATAAACTTTATTTCTCTACTTACTATATCCTCCTCGAGATTTATTTATTTATGGAGAGGGGATGTTTTTATCTCATAGTTTTAAGATTGGAGCACCATATTTATTTGTGCCAGTCAACCATTAATCATTTACTGAATATTTTGAACAAATATGACAACTGATTATTGAGATATTTATGTCGTAACAGTAAAATATTACTAGGTCTATTTGCAATGTTACTTCCATTCTCACATAGAAATTATAATGAATAATTGAATAATGAATAATACTCGAACTGACTAAAGGAAGAAGCAATTAAACCCTGGTCTCTGATCAAGCAGGGAGAAGACAGTCGATCCTGTGGAGCCTTGTTTTCCTGGTCATTTTTAACAGAGCCCTCTGTATGCATGCAGACTACTGCAGTCATTCATGAAGTAGATGCAATCCCTTATTTCCCTCAGATCCTCAAGGATCTGAGCTAACTGTTTGATCACCTTAGGCCTAAGAAAATTGTGGCTACATATTCATCCTCGAATTAACCTAAAAGTGAATTATATTTCATTGCTTGTAGGATGGTATGGGAAATCTGAGAGTCACCAAGAAGGGAATTCGACTTGAAGGTCTGTCTGAATTTCTCCTTCCATTGTATGTGAAAGAAATTCATTCCCGAAAGGTATGTGATGCTGGCTTTGGCTTACTGTAAACGACCATGTAGAGGTCATGTTTTAGCTTGATGTAAGAAAATAGACTCCCCTTATCCCTCAAGTATATATTGAGTTTCCTTAAGCTAAAACTCTATTTGAAGAAAAATAATTCAAAACAGTGAAACCATTGAAAAATTTGAGATAAGTGTTAGTTTCAAACAGACAAATAAAAGAACTATTTTGAATTAAAGACAGGGTTTTTTTTTTGTTTTGATTTGCTGTCAATAAAGGATGTCCCTGCTATTTTCTCTGAGACTTAAAAACACACAAGGTTATTTGATGCATTTTAAGTAATTTCTGCAAAGTGCATCGAACTTAAAATTTTTTCAATTCAATATATTAAATATTTCTATGACTTTAACGGGCATGCATTATCTAATGGTAATGGCACAGAGTTTTAATTCAGAAACTTAATTTCTTTCTCCTGTATTTTATTTAAAACAAGTCAAGACATTAATCTCTTTAAATGTGGGTGTGCATGTGCTATGTATATTTAAATCATATGTATATTTAAAACATGTTAAAAATCAAATAATTATGGCTAATGAATTATCATTTTAGTGTAAGTGTGTTGCTTTCTTGAGTATATAAACATTTTTTTTTTTAATCTTACTACAGTCTTTCAAATCGATGAGATATCCTTCTGGGTTATGGGCATATGGATAGAAATAAATGTATTAAGACAGAAATAAATTATGGACAGTATATTAGTCTATTAAATATGAAAGTACTCAGCTTTATCTCATAAGTGAAAATATCTTTAGAAAAAAATAATGCTTCGAGCAATCTCAATAATATATGCTTGCACATGTTTGCAACCCACTTGCTCACAGTGATGGAGGGGAACCAACTACATTGCCTTGGTTGTAATTTTACAGGAGCAGTAGCTTCATCTTTATGTCAACACGTTTGCAAAGTAAACTATAATTTAAATGATTTATTTAATATTCTCTTTTGTTATCTTTCAAATGAAAATTGTTTAGGGATTTGTTCTTAAAATATTTAAATACATTGATTTTTAAATTGTGTTTATACTTTCATATTAACCTGTCAGAATCTTGTTAGTGTATTGTAATGACTGCCACTCTGGGACATTAATATTTCACACTGAAACTCCTTTTTTACTCTGGTTAGATGAATGACACAGTAGACACATGTTTGAACAGCTGGCCTGCTGATGTAATTAAACTTAAGACATGCTTAAACGTAAAGTGAGCTTTTCTCCCAGGGGTTATTTTGTATAAAATATATACAAAATTTTTGTATAAAAATTGAAAAAAAATTATAAATATCTGTGTGTTTACTCTTATTGGAAGTCATTGTGACCCACAGTTGTTAGAATCTTTCATAGTATTAAACCATTTAAAAAGTTAAGAAATGAAAACTGATACATAGAAATTAGAAAATCATTTAACATAGGAATAAGATTAGACAAAATCATAAGCATGAAACTCCATGAAAATGCATTCTACTTATAACTTCAGAGAGAGACAGCAAGAGTGATTTATGTTCAAAGTCATTTAGAACAATTTATAGTGGCCACCCAGGAAAATGACTTAGAAAAGGATTGAGTTGTTCTCTGCCAGCAGGCAAATCATAGAATTTATCTACCCAGCTGGGTCAGTTTTGAGAGTCTAGCAACAGGCATGCCAAGGGAAATGTGAATGCTCGTTCTCTCCAACTAGAGACCAGGTAAAACTATGTCTATTGATTTTATATGAGTGTCATTCATGGGTAAGCTGGAGGCTGTTGGCGCTCCTCAAGGCTGTCCCTGGGAATGTTTACCTCAAGTTTGCAAGCATTTCCAAAATCTACTGCATTGATTGGAATCCATCTTCTCCCTTTCACATCCCCAGTCATGCTATTGTGTCCTTTTCACATCTGGTCTCCTTTTAGTTTGGCTTCCTGTAGCTAAGAAGCCCAACAAAACACAGGCAGGTGGGATTATCATCTTCTATCAGCAGTCAAACAGGAAATATGGTTTGAGAAAAGAAATAGAAGCAGTTTCACTTACTCCTTGACAAATAGGTCCATACACAATAGAAAAATAAATACTTGACAGAAAAGAGAAATTTTATACATTGTTATTCTTATCAATAAAATAAATTAGACAAGATCCTATGACAATCCTTGATTCTTATGTTTAAGAGAAAATGCAAAATTTTAGAAAAATAAATGCAACTAGAAATAAACTTTTGTTGTTTCTAAAATATACCATACATTCCAATTTGCTCACATATTTTAATATAATCAAATGTGTTTCACAAGAAAGTTCTAAAGTTTCTGCAGCCCCAAGGTAAGGGAGGCTACATAAAATTAAAACTGTACATATCAAGGTTCAATTAAACTAAGATAAAAATAATTGTTTGCAACAATTTTGTATGTGTGTATTTCTTTTCTGCTTTTAAATCAGTGTGTTGCCATCTTTGCATTTAGACAGTATTCTACAGTGAAGTAAGTAATATTCTCATTTCAAGTCATTTTCTCAATAGATAGATATTTAACACCATACATGACACAGGGCTGCAACAATATGGTCAGGTGCAGGATCAAGTATAAGAATGATGCCCGTGAAGGGAATGTTTCATTTCGTTGTGTGTGGTGTTATTATGGGTCAGAACTGACTGGACAGTACCCAACAACAGCAGTACGTGGAAAAGTAACCCAGAGATACTAATGGACACAAAATGCTCCTGACTGTAATATTCTAGCCACCGAACTAAAGAACCAGAGGTTGGATTTACCTTGCCCTCCATCCTCACCCCCAGGAAGCCATGGGGGTGCACTTGGATAAGGTACTTTGTTTACATCTGACACTTTTATGACGTCACAAGTGTGCCTTCCTAAAAGTTCTGGCGATATACTTCAAAGAAAAAAAACAACTGGATAATCGGATAGGGTGCATTGTACTCTGACACACAGACAGTCAGCATGTGAAGCACAACCAGATTGCCCCTTCCTCCGCAAATGCTCGAACACCAGATGAGATTGTTGCTGAACATGAAAAGAGATCCATATTAATATAAGCAAATACTGGAAATGAACAAGGCAATATCTAATAGAACCTGCTTAGCATTGAATATAAAATGCATAGCTCCCAAACACACCCACTCCATCTAGTCGATGCTGACTCATAAGGACTCTCTAGGACAGGGACGAACTGGTCTTGTGAGTTTATGAGACTAAATCTTTACTGTGGTAGAAAGCCCAGTTTTCTCCTGTGGAGCAGCTAGTGGTTTCGAAAGGCTGACCTGGTTAGCAGGCCAACGTGTAACCACTATACCACTAGGCCTCCTCCTCTTCTTAATACTTTAAAAAAAAAAAAAGCCTTTTCTTCTTCCTCAAATGGTCAATCAAAACAATATACATGAAGAAAAAAAATCTATTCTGAACATATTTTAGAATTCAGTACATCTTTTGAAACTAACATCTATATGGAATAATTAGTCATTCAATAATTTTTAACTATATAATTTTCTTCACAAAGGAAAATACTAAGGATCTTGGTTTGGGAGGAACCTTACATAAATGATTACTTATTCTGAATCATTTTCAAGGCACATGGTTTGACATGAGGGCAACTCTTTTGAAATAACATACAATTATAACATGTACCCCTCCCTGGCCTTTTATTCATTTATTTTTAATGTAACTGCAGCCTATTTTTAAGTTTACATAGGTTCAGGACACTGATGTGTTTAAATTGAGTTTCCGTGATGTTTTACTTCAGTTCACATCAGCGTGCTCGTCTCAACAACTCCAGTAAGTGCAGAGTGAAGCAGAGCAAAGAAGGGGTGCTTAGGCATTTTGTGTTGTTTTAAAACTCACTGTCAACGGGTCTATTCCACTCTGGTAGTGTTTGCATTTAAGCAGCTAGTTGCAAGGTCAGCAGTTTAAAACCACATTCCTCTCTAGGAGAAATATGAGACTTTCTACTTCCATACAGTGACAGTTTCTGAAACCCACAGGGGCCGTTCGCCCCGGTCTTCAGGGTCCCTATGAATATGTAGAAGAGGCCTCTCATTGATTCAAGGCTAACACCATTCTAGTTTATCATCAATTGTTCAGTTCCGATTATCAACACTCAGATATAAGCCTGTTACCAGATGCTAATCATTGATTGTCTCAGAGTATATAATTGTACATCTGCGTGAATAGAATGATAAATTAGGAGAGGTATATGTATGTACCATTTATTTTTTAGTGTATTGCACACATTTTAATTGAAAGAAAAATAATACGAGTTAACATTTAAAAAATGACTGATCTTAAATACTTTCTGCCACATTATGATTAAAAGAGCTTTTCTTTATGATTAAAGAAAAAACAAAGATTATAATTACCTTTAAGAAGTTAGATGCATTCGCTTCGTGTTTTTAAATCAATGTTCATTAACTACCTGCTGTGTAATTTCAAATGATTAGCTCCTTTCCAAATCGTCCTCTTCCCTCTCCATTTTCACTTTTTGATAAGTATATATTTTTAACTTTCTCAGAATTCACAATATTTACATTTCATTCTGAAATGCATAAAGGCAGTATTTACTACAATCCCTTTTAATTGTGGAATCTCCATTCCTGAGTTTATTGTTCAAAATCACTCCTTAATTGTACTTCGTTAATAAATTATTATCTTTGTTTTAATTTTCCAAATAGCCCATGCTTAAAGTTCTGTCTCTTGCCTTTATGCTTTTCTGAATATAATATTGATTATTCACCAGTCCATTTCTTCGGATCTACAAATTAATTGCTCTATTATATTCTAGTGCTGACTATTGCCATGAAAAATGAGAAGAATTTGGTATTTTTATCCTGTTAATGATATAATTATTTTCCTAGGATGCCTGACAATATTTTGCCAGTTTACTTTTTATCCTGTCAGGAAAATATTATTGATTTGAATATATCATATCACTTATTTGTGGACTTTTTCATGTCAGAAGTGATCTTTTGTCTGCTGAATCGTTTTG